AGCGGTGACAAGCCGCCTTTTAACTGTAAAAGAAAAATTTATTTTATTTCGAAAAAAGAAGCCCAGTTTAAGTTTCTTCACAAGATTTTGAATGTGAGGCTTAAAACTGAGGGAGTCATCAATCAAGAACCCAAGATATTTATATGTGTGAACCATCTCTATAATATTTCCATCAAGAGTGGACACAGTGGGGATCGTCAGAGGCACCCTTTTGGTGTTTGCAAATAGCATTAATTTAGTCTTATCAGCATTGAGTACCAACTTTAGTTGCATGAATGCCACCGGTACATATTCAGGTGCTCATGCATAAGGAAATTAGCATAATTACAGCTCTAATTTAACCATATAAGGCCATGCTTTCTTCCCTTCACACCGGGAAGTGTTCATTCATGAAAATGGCAGCGAAAAGTGAAGTAGTTTGAGTTCTTGAAATTTTTATTGTAGTGTTACAGCATTAATAGCCAATTTAAATAATATCATACATTAATACATTTAAAATTATAATTCTAATTCAAACATAATAGCCTATTGTCAACATAATTATGGAGTGTGAGTTGTTTTCAACTCAAAATATCTTCAAACTAATGAAATATAAAGTTATTAGTGAAGAAAATCAGTCTGGATAACATCAGACTGCACATAAAATATACAAGTCTGGATTATTCATAAATTTTGTTTGTATCTGAAAAAAAAAATCTTACAATAAGAGAAACTTGGTGAATGCCATAAGTTCTCCTATCCCTTGTACACACAACAAATCTGCTTGTACGACTGGTTCTTACAATAATAGGGAAAGTAAACCTACTTTTACACTCACTCTTTGAAATGAAGTGTTGAATTTACTTAACCAAACTGGTTTTACTAAACCGAGTATTGCTTTACATTTACTCAACCTGGTTAAATAAATTCAACACTTCATTTTTTAGAGTGTCTAAACAACTCTTTTCATGATGAGTTCTGGTCATATTTAAATTTGCAATATGTAACGAGGTGTTAAATTTTCAAGTAAAGAAGTAAAAGTATAATTTTTACATTTAAAATGGAACCAAAAAAGTAAAAGTTATGATAAAAAATGATAAAATGACAAATCCTCAAAAAATTTACTTAAGTACTGTAACAAAGTAAGTTAAGTTTTCTACTAAAGGGAAAAATAAAATTTGCATAATTTATGGTCTGCATTGTGCTTAAATTAGTAGCTTTTCAGCATAGTTGCTTTTTTGCCTCTTTTGTAAAAGAGTTTCAAGATTTTGATGGTGATTTTTATTTTTTATTTTTTATTTTTTTGTTCTTTGTCTATCCAGGACGAGTAATTTCACTCCAGGACTGTTTTGTTCAGCAGACACGAAGAGGAGGAGAGAAACAGAAGCTGTGTCCATCACAGCATCAGGTAACACCCTGTCACACTTTCATACATCCTCACCAATCTGCAATACCACACATCTTAACAGACTGAGCTGAGGGTCTGTATCATATTGTACAAATGTTGTAGTTTTATGTTTTTAGCCACAAGTGTTTTTTTCTTTTCTTTTCTTCTTTTTCTGAGATGTCTGTATTGTTTGAATGATCATAAAATTTTAAACAACTGTTTATGAAATGGCCAATAAAATTATTATTTTATTCAGGTTATGATGTTTACATTGACTGGTCAAATAAATAAATAAATAGTAATGTTGCTRTTTTCATTTTTCCCTCTTATTTATAATGTTTCATTAGTTGATGTTCAAAATGATTGTGGCCACAGTGGGGAATAATGGATTTATACAAGTTAAACAAAKGTTCAGTCTGTTTGAACAAATCAGCAGCTGTTCTCCATGTTTTGTCTGTTTTTAAGACAAGCTGACATTTGCTCAAAAATCGTTTCTTAGTCTGGCCATTCTGAAGTCACAGCACCGCTACGAAATCAAACTTTCCTGGAAAATGAAGACAAACATTTTATGAAACAATCTACCTGAGTGGTATTATAAACATGTATTAAAAAAAAGCAGTAAAGCAGTTAGAGCAGATATGAAACAGACATTTTTGACAGCACAGTATTTTACAGGCTGCTGTAAAATATCCTTGTTGTGACTAAAGTCTGTATTTTTTAATCACAGTCTAGAAAATGTAATAGCTACAAAAAATGTATAAAGATGACATTTTCATATTCACTTTTCAAAATGTCTATGTTATATTATCTGAACCCCTCTTCCAAAAAAAAGATCCACAATAAAAAAAGAAAAATTCACATTTAACATTTTTCCCATCAAACGATTGAACAAAGGTTAGAGGGCATGACATGTGTGGTTAATTCACAGACTCCTGTGACTATTTGACTCAACATTATYAGTTTTTTTTGTATGTGTCAACATCCATGAAACATCTGCTTTTTATGATTAGCTCTGAAGAAAWTGAGAGCGTGACATCTTAAAGAACACTGGGCCTCATGCAAGAACATGCTCGTATTCTTATCCTAAATTTCTCTTACTTTTGTTCGTACGAAGGGTTCGTACGAACATGTCACGTCAGATTCAACAAACTCTTCTATCTTCAGGAAAAGTGTGTAAATGAGCTGCGTAAATTCCACCTGTTCGTATCCAGCTGCTCGTGCACGCGAGAGGAGATTAGCATAATTACCACCCCAAAAACACCATATAAAGCTATGTTTCCTGCCTCAGATATCAGGAAGTGTCCGTTCATGAAAATGGCAGCGAAAAGTGAAGTAGTTTGAGTTCTTGAAATTTTTATTGTAGTGTTACAGCATTAATAGCCAATTTAAATAATATCATACATTAATACATTTAAAATTATAATTCTAATTCAAACAGAATAGCCTATTGTCAACATAATTATGGAGTGTAATTTATTTTCAACTCAAAATTTCTTCAAACTAACGAAATATAAAGTTATTAGGGAGGAAAACCTGTCTGGATAACAGCAGACTGACTGCTCGTAAAATATACGACAGGTCTGGACCACTCGTAAATTTTGTTCGTATCTGAAAAAAATCGTAGAACACGAAAACATTGGTGAATGCCACAAATTCTCCTAAATCACTCGTACGCACAATTTAAGAACAAATCTGTGCTTACGAACGGTTCTTGCATGAGGCCCAATGAGAATATTACACCTGCCCTTACTTTCCAGTGTTAGATATTTGAGGAAACAAAGGAAAGGTTGGTGTAGGGAAGTGATGCGTGGAAGCTTTTTGTTTGAAATAAAGTACGTGTTCTGGGGTTTGCCTCGTCGCAGAAGACACCAGGCAGTTGTGTGTGTTTAAACCAGAGGAGCTGCCTTTTTTCATCAGACTGATGACTCTAAACCTTGTGTCTTCACCGGATTGAAACCCGAATTGGTTTGTCCACCCCTTTTTTTTCTGCCCCCTTCCCGCTCACCACCTTCYGCAGCTGCTGTTTGTCATTTAAATAACAAATGCTGGTGGTTCCCTGATTTAGTGAGGGGTGCAGGCCTCTGATGTATATTAATATTGCGGCACAGAGCTCTGTACTCGGGTCCATCATTCATTTGAATAAAAGAGGTGGAATTTAAAAACAGCCAATGCTTTACTTGGATCAAGATTGGATCCATTTATTGCACTGAGTGATGGAACGGCTGGCGACTCTGTCCTTCACCTTCCTAGCGCCGAACCTCGTCTCATAAACTTAAAGAAGGCTTCACCTCTGACCCCTAATATTCAACATATGTAACCAGAGGCATCCCTCAGTTGTTTGACAGCTAACAGGCTCACAGTGTACTGTAAGAAGTCAGAGTGGGAAATGCTTCTTCATAAAATATTAGGTGAATTTGAACAGGGCACGGATTTTAAATTAAAATGTTAAAAAATGTCACTAATACAATTCATTATTTAGTTCACTTTCTGAGTGTTAAACATTATATTGTTATTTAGCTCACTGTTCTTACATTTAGCTAATTTTTACTAAATGTTAAATTAAAAAAAATATGGAAATATTGAATCTTAAATCTAAATATAAAAGTTAAATGTTGAAATTTACATTTACCTATTTCACAGCCTTTGCCGTTAGTGCTAAGCTCATGTTAGGATGTCATTACCTTCAGACAAAAGCAACCGCTAATGCTCCAATGCTGCCAAAGACATAAAACTTGCAGTTGCCACCCGTGTCTGAGCTTCACTTCAAACTGCCGGACCACTGGTTCCATCCATGTTGTTTTCACAGAAAAAACTTTTGAATTTAGATTTTAATACTTTCTTCAAGCAGCAGCGGTTATCATTAGCTAATCAGGATGATGTCCTKGGGAGTCTTCAAAGGCGCTAACAACTACAACGCATTATCCTGCGACAAACGTCAACGCTCGCCACTGCTAACAATTCTAACACGACTGAACATTCAGCATTTAACATTTAGATGTGCACATATAGATTTAGGATTTAATATTTACATGTTTTTAATATTTAAATGTAAAATTTGGTAGACATTAGCAAACGTAAGAACAGTGAGCTATGTAAATAATAAAATGTTAGTGGAAAAATTTTAACACTCAATGTGAGCTAAATAATTTAAAAAGTGTTAAAAAGTAGTGAGGTTTTTTTTTTTTTTTTACATTTGGTGCTTCATGCATAAAAACAATATATATCTTTATGATTTGTTTCCACATAAATATTTAGTGAACTCTGTACAGAGACTAAATGATTATCTCATTGAATTGTGTCTGAATGTGCTTTAGAAGCATACACACAAATACAGAAGGTGAGTGTCTGACGGGCACATCCTCATCGACCCTGTTTGGACTGTTTTCTCGCTTCTCGAGTCTAGTGCCCCCTGTCCACCATGATTTATCATGCACCCCGTGTCGTCCAATGTCAGTTTCTGCAGCTGCGACTGCTCTGTATAAATCTTTACTTTGGCAGCCCRCTGCACCATGTCTCCGCTCAGTAATCACAGGACCTCCAAGAGATGCACATCCACTCTGACAAGCTTTTACACTCTCTGTGCAGGAATTTTGGTCTGACATAAATGTGCACCGAGGCAAAATCAGATTCCGTGATTTACCGAGTGAAGCCGTTTCCTGGTAGACATCTTGTTTTGCATGGAAAGATTGTTGTCTGCATTCAGCAGAAAGAGCAGCGTATTACTCTCAGTGAACACGACAGCTGAGTCTTTGGATTATCWAGAGGAAGTGGATTGTTGTATATGTTAGTGGTTGGTCTGAAACTCTGTAATCAGGGGTGAAAATGGTCTGCGGCCCAAGGTATCCTCCAGGGCTCTACGGGGAATTACTGAAGCGGTACSCAGCTGTTGCTCTGTCTTCTTTCTTTACCCTTTTAGCACCTCCACAGCAGTGCTAAAACTGGTTGAGAAAAACACACACATACACACAGACAACAACTTATCAGGCTAGGTATCTGTTTGGATTACACGACCACTCCATTTCTCAGCTTTAAATTGGCCATTTTCTACTTTTCTCCTCCACCATCAAATCAAGAAATTCAACTCAGTTCAACAAGTTCTTATTAGATTTTGAACAAAAATAACTAATTTCTATTTTATATTATCAACTATTGTTCAAACGTTAATAAAAAGGGGACATTTCCTGCTAATTCCATGTTTTTAGCTGTTACAAAAAGCATTTTATTGTGTACTTGGTGTCTCCAGGACTGCAGTAAATTTGAAYTTAGTCTCTCCCTGTGCTGTGTAGATATCTTTAAATTCTGTTTGATCATAATTTTCAACCTGTTTAATTTTCTCTATTTATGATGATGTTTTCTGAACTATTACGTCACAGTATTTGTGACTTGAATTGCCAAATAAGGTCTGGATTTACCAATTACAATTTCATTGTCTTCACTCTCCTCTGGCTCAGKGTCAGACTSTGGCTCCAACACGTAAGGCTGGGTGGACAAGTCTTCAGTTGTTGACATCTCTTAATCAATTTGTAAAAAATAATTTTCTGTGCCACTATACAGTCATAACCCCCTCGAATGGACAGATCTAGAAGCTGGAGGGGGGCGGAGTGTGAAGGGCCTTGTCTGGATTTAAAGAGACAGCATCAAAAAGTGTTGGCATGAGACACACCTCAAAAAAGGAGTAAAGAGGGGCTTGTGGAGTTACAATAAGAAGGAATTCAGATCAAAGCATTGCAGTTCCACTTTATATAGACCCCGACTGAATGATTTAAAATTTTTTGTTTTGTTACTGGATTTAATATCAGAAATGTTTCCTGTTCTCACCGGCAATGATTACATTTCCTCTGCCCTTCATCTTTAGCTTTATAAGCTGTTGTTGATGAAATGCAACAGGTATTGTTCAGCGCTAACTTTCAGGAATAAGTACGTTTGTAATTAATTATTTGAACCAATTAGTCTGTGTGTTGTATACATGTAGGTGTAATATGGGTGCCCACACATGGCCCTAAAGTCAGCGGTGGGCTGCCTATGCTCTCCCCTCTGTCTTCACGTGTCTCCTTGCCTGACCAAGACGGCTGCATGACAGATCACCTGCGCTGGAGGCCCGCCGTGTTCCTGCCCGGCGGTTCGGCCCCCCTCTCATTAATGYCCAGGCCGGCGCGAGGGCCGCGTGGCAGCACAAGACAAATAACGCTACCACTCAGCCATCACTTGTGCTGACAGAAATGCAGCCCACCGCACTATTTTGCCCTCTCYGGCTCCACTCCACAACCTGCTCTTGTCCTTCAACCCCCCCACCCCCTTCTGCTCGGTCTCCACCTGCACCTGTCTGAGCTGCTCCACCAAACTTTCACAGTGTGGGGTTTTGTTTTTTTAGCTGTTGCTTGAGGGTGAGTTTAACACTGATGTACAGGTGCTGCTTGTAGCTGCATTTGTATTCCATCTTTGTTGAAACATATTTGATTTTAGCTGCTCGTTCTGTCAGGTGCTTCTTGACTGGTTTGTGTGTAAACCCTCTTGCCAGGAGGTCTGACTTAAATGTCCTATTTTTGCAGTTGTGAAGAGAGTTGTGTGTGTGTGTGTGTGTGCATGAACAAGAAAGAGAGTGAGCAGGCTAGAGAGAAACACAAAGGCTAATCATTAAAGAGCCATTCAGCCCTGTTCATTTAAGTGTGGGAATCAGCAGGCCCATTACTGTCAATGTGTAATTAGCTGATTAATAAACAGGGGGAGCGGGAGTGCTCCAGGAAGTCCTGTAATGATTGTTTTTAGAGAGCATCTCATAAGAGCTTATTAAGATGGTAAGGTGGTTCTATTCAACTTCCCATTACCACCTGCAATAAATGTATACGTACTGTAATTCTCCTTCTGACAGAGAACCTTCGCGTTCTAATTTCTTTTCTGACCTTCATGTAAAACTGCTTGATTGCTAGCSCCAGTATTGTTTTAATAACAACAAATTAACAAATGGTTTGCTTTCATGCTTTATCTTATAAACACATAAATATATACATGGAACTCCTTTATTGTTTTATACATTTAAAGCTGTTTTTGTGACCATTGCGTAGGGGAAAGTATTTTAAATAGTCATAAACTAGTTGATTATATACATATATCAATTTCAAATTTTCGCAGCTCTTTTTTGTGTTATTTAAATGTTATGTTGCACAACATGCACAAATCTCAGTAACATTTGATCAGTTTCCTTCAGAAATATTCGTCGTGTTTTTTTCTTGTCCTGATTTTGACCTTGACGTTGGAGTGGAGTTGGTATGTCGTGCACCTTGTGCATGTTAAAGCACTCAAACTAATGTTCCCTGCTGTTTCTTTGTATCGGTCAAATATGAAAAAACTCCTGAATTTTGATCAAGTCCTTTGACTATGTTTAACTCGTGTGTTTGGGTTGGACCTCTGCAACGGTTAGTCATCATTCCCTCAAGAAATATTAATCAATTATCTTGCCTGCCGGATCAGTTTGGGGAAGAAGTCATCTGGAAAGAGGCACAAGCAGATATATGAGGAACGAGCTCGAGCACATGCCGGTGAATGCTGTAATGCCTAATCCTTTGAGACAGCCCAGAGCCACAATGTCACTTCTAGTTCCCTTGTCCTTTGCTAGGGTACTGCCTGGAAAAGTGTCTGGTGTCACTGCCACTAACTTTTTAGGGGGCAATCTGGAGAGCTTTATTTATCAAAACTGAAGCAAGGAAAGCATATAACCATTTTATTTATTCATTAATTTATTTTTTATGTCTGTGTGTATTTTTTATGTTGGTGCATTTTTGAGTATTTCTCTTTATGTGCAGATTCTCAGTTTTAAGTTGAGTGCAATTAAAAGGAAATGTGATTTTTTTTAAAAGGAAGGTGATAAATAAGAAATGACACACAAGGGGGAAATTAGTTTAAAAGGCTAAAATGATTTGCCTTTTTTAATGGTTATGTTTGCCAAACCGGACCACATAACCAAAATTTCATTCATGTTTAACATTACAGGATCACATTATAGTTTTATTTCAATACATCTAAAGCAGTGATTTTCATTTAAATCACTTAAAAAAGAATGTGGGATTTACACGAGCACACTGTCTTTTAGTCTCATTTGACGCGTTTTCTGATTGTCTTTYCTTTACAGCCACCGCCCCATTTCACACAGATCCGCAGAAAGAAGAGGTAAAAGAAGGAGCCAGCAACACAGCAGCCCTAGAAGCAGTGGGACCAACGGCACCTGAGTTTTCTGAGGGTTTGTCTTTATTCCACGAGGACACTTGAATGGAGATCGACAGGCTCATCTAATTCCAGCAGAATGTGGCAAAAAGAAAACTATTGTGCCTGGGGAAGAAAAAAAAGAAAGAAACAAAAGCTTGAACTGTTATTACTGCGAAAACTTTACAACAAAGAAAAAAAATACAAAGCACATCATTAGTCTTCAAATCAGCATGTTCCTGCTAGATCCAGTCCTTCCAGGTATATTAAGCATGACAAATGTTAATGCAATCAAGCCTTGTTAAGCCCTCTGCCATCTCCTCAAAGAAGAAGGCAGCTTCAAGTGGCTCCTTGTTTGACTCTAGACTTTAGTGCTCCTCCTGTTTCCACACAGTCTCCAGGCCTCCCGTGACTGCACAGTCCAGTAATTACGTCCACTCTAGAACTGCAGCACTTGTCAGCAGGAACCTTGGAAGCGTGGTCAGTTGAGGCACGGTAGCCAGGGGGGGAGAGTGTCTGCTCTACCTTAGGGCCGCCAACAATGGCTGTAAGAACATCACAATGTTTGGCTACCACACGCTGTCACAGGGTTAAGAGAGGCAACCACCGGTGGCGAGCCACACAAAGTACAGGCTTCCTATTAGCATGGATTTGAAAAGCTACAGTTGCTACAAAGGTGCTCATTAGCACAACACAGAGGGAGCGTAGTCACGGTCCTCGGAGGGCCGCCTCTGTTCTCATCAGGTTACCTTCCATATTCAAAGTTCTCCCAAACGTATTTAAAGTTCAAGGCCCGCTGCAGGTCTGTTTGAAAAGGCTGTTTTTCAGCGATGCTGGCTGAGTGACTTTAAATGAACGGACGCTCGCAAAGAGAAGTTAGAGAAGCTGTAGGAAACAGGAGACAGGACTCACACGGTACTTTCACAAAGCCTTGGGGTGTACTGTTTACCAGCACTTTCACCAGCAGATACATTAAAAGATCAATGCAGCCTACAGTGAGATCAAACAGCAGTTTGAGCCAAGCCAGTAAACAAGAAGGCTTTTCCAGAAAGATGCATATGCACTATATTAGTAAAAACTTTTGTAGTCTGTAAATGCCCTGCACCTGCAGGCTACCTAATTCTGTTAAAAGGAACCTGGGAGGTATTTTACTTGGAAACAAAGTATTTCTCTCTTATAAATATCTGCACATTTTAAATCAAAAGTAACAAATATGGACTTTATATAACAAGATATCACCAGCTACACAACACATGTCTTTTCAGACCTTTTTAAAGCCATTTTTAAGAGAAGAATCGCATTTAATAAAATKAGATTTGCCAATTAATATGAGTTATACGTCCGCAATAATCCTTGTGAGAAGGATTTATGTGATCATGTTTTAGAGGGGTGACATTTATAAATGCTGTGTGTGCACACTAGTCTAAATGGATGCCTCACACAAGACACGCTGCCACAGAAATCAGTCAAAGTGTTCAGACAGAGAGCGCCCCCCAACCCCCCTCGGCTAAGCTAYCGCCGCCTCTCCTCCTGCAGCTCGACTCCAGGCTGGGCTCACATCAGGAGCATAAACCTGATTAATAGGAATTGCACAGGTTGGGGTTYATTATTAAACAAAAAAAGAGAGCTCCCATTAATGGCTTTTTAGAGATACACGCCTCTGAACTTGTTGACAAGTATTGACTGTAATTGTTTTAGAAGAGCTTTGTGCCGCTGCCTTATCTGACAGCCTGTGTTTTGGTGCCAATGAAGTGACAGGAGAAAAAAAAGATGCATCAAACATTCCCATCAGTAGGAGGAGAAGAATACCTCTCATAATTAGCAGTCACCATAATGACACCTCAGCCAGACCTTATGTCGCGAAATGAATTTACAATGGCTTGGAAATGAGCGAGTAGCATCCGTGGAGTTAGTCAATTGTCCTGTTACAGTTAAGGAATCCAGCAGGCTGGTACCACTCATATTTCATCCCAGGTAAAGATTACCTGTCAGGCCCATGGGAGATGTATTGATCTGTTTTCCTTTTTCCGCCAGCAATCACCTGACAAAGGCACCTAGGAGGTGAGTGAGTGAGCGATGCCTGGTGTGTCTGGTCGAGCCTGCTGGTTTCTGGTGTCCAGTGATGGGTGGAGAGGGGATGCGGAAGAGCAGCGATAACGCAGTCATAAACTCTGTTTGAACCTCATCTGTATGCATGCAGAGCAGTCCCCTCTGAGCCCCAGGGTCAGAGGTCAGTGGGGAATTTGCCTTTTTTTTTGGCTCCTTTCTTATAAGTGGCATTTGTTCCTGCTGTGTAATGTGTACCGAAGGTAGAAATGCAAGGAGGGGAAAAGGGGCCACTCTGGTTCCTGCTGACAACTCCGTGTTGCAAGTCATCATAGTTCAGCTCACTTTGGACTTTAGAAAAAAAATCCAATTGATGTTGATGCCTTTTTAACAAGAACCTGTTGTGGTTTCATGTTTGCCTTTTTTCAAAATAATATTCTTTTATACATTATTTATCAGCCAAAAAAATTAAACATTTCACTTGTTCATCAATGTGCAATATTTAAAACCCATGAGGCCATACATTTAAAGTAGTTTAAATGTACACAATGTTTTGTATTTATGATGTGATAGTTTTAAAGCCAATATTTGCAGATTTAACTCCAGCGGCATTAAATTCATGAATGAAATTACATGTTAGATAGTGCACAAGATATGYCTAATTTTTCTCACTATCATATTTTCTAATTTCATCTACAAGGATTTAAATAAATCTGGGTGATATCAGGGCTCTGAGGCAGCTATCCACATTTGAAACCTTGTACAAATAGCATCTTATCTCTTAAGGCTGTTATCTTTATGCCTAATAGCAGTGGAGGCATGCCTAATTGCTTTGCAAATGATCTAAAGAGGATTACTAATCCCTTAGAAAGCCTGCACCATGTCACTAGATGTGAGAGAGATGTTACAATAGTAGAATTCAATCGAAACGCGCWGTTCATGCAGTAGATGTCTTCTCCAGAATCATCACCTGTTTGAAAAATGTTTTAGAAACTGGTGGATGATATACTGTTGGATAATTTTTTAAGGTTGTTATACAAAAAGAAACTTAAAAGGTAATCTCTAATCATTTGTGAATTTTAGAAAACTGTCTTGCAGTCATGTCTGTGTTTGTTACTTTTATTAATATTTATTGTCATGAATATTTAAAAGCTGTGTTATCTATGTCAATTCATGTGCAATAAATGGGTTTTGGTGATTATGATCATGCAAAGTATTTACTTGAAAATGAGGCGTTGACATATTTCATTTGTGCTTCAGGCACGAGAAAAGGAAGTTAACATTTATATTCACCATGTGAGATTTGTCAGAAAAGTTTTTAATCTAAGATTAACAGGGATTTTGCTACCTGGTAAACCAACACTGGGGTTCTAAGGCTCAGTTTACGTGACATGTTTTAAGTGAAACTGCAGCTTTTCTTTTGAGGTTGTTTGCACCGCTCTCATTTCCTCTGAAACTGAAGATTTCTGAATCCAGATTTTTTTTTCTAGCAGAAATGTGAACTACGGTGAGTGACCACAGGCRGCTGCAGTCAATAGTTTTTCTGCGCTTGTGAGAGTAGATGAACAACAGTAACAATGGCAGAGAGCAGAGTGCTGTTTGTTCAACTCACCCCTTTTCAACATGTAGGAGTGACCCACATCTCCGGTCTAAACAAACGTTTCTGGATTAACCATTTTAACTTTATTGATGCTGAGACAGCATGGGCATCTCGTTTGAAGCTTGGTATCAGTTTTGGCGGACACATGATAATTAKAAAATTTTTGCCCAGTTCTTTTCTGTAGACATGTTCGTCAATTGCAGTACACAAGTGCACCCAACTTTAAAGCAGCAGTACCATAGTCATTTCCTTATCTGGCAACCCTGCCTGGCATGGAAACTACAGCGAATTCAACAAGCATTAAAAAGATGGTTCACATATACCGGTAAACTGGGCCTAAGTTAAGACATGCCCGTATAAAACTGTTGGAAGTTATTAATCCCAAACCAGAATGGAATTGTCAATAGTTATTGCAGATTAAAAGCAACATTTGTTGAAAATACAGCCTGATTCAGTGTCCTTAAATAGAAAAAGCGCAAGTAAATTTAGCAGTTTTTGAATCAGAATTCTGTTTTAAATGTTGCTCATTTATGAGGCATAGTTTAAGTCTTATTTGAAACTTCTCTCTGATCTTTTTCATTTTAAAGGTACTCATTGCAATATTATACCTTTGCAATGAAGATCTGAAAATTTTGTAGTAAAACTTTGTACATGTTTGCCTGCTGTTATGTTTGTTTACCTTCAAAAACAACCAAAGCGATGGAAAATACGTAGGTCAACATTGTAAATATATATGAAAGATTGGGTTGGAGAAATCTGGCAGTTTTTATGTATTAGTGTAAATTTATGCTCAGATTTGTGGAGTCAGTTACGCARATAAGCTTCTGACAGATTCAGCTGAGACCTTTGTTTACACTGAGCAGGGACCCACGTTTCAGAATAAGGTCTTCCAAACTGCACCATTTGCTTTGGGAGACCCTGTTTTATGTTTGATTTCGTACTGAGCAGCTTTAAAGCCAAATAGATACATTTAGAAAATCCCTGGCTATTTATAAATTGATGATGAGAATAGCGTTCAGATGCCGCTCTGAAGTACTTTTCACAGTTGAGTGACACAATCCCACCACAATGTGACATCAGCCCTGCCGAATACAGATGTTGGTTTGGCTGCAGTGCGGCTGACAGAGAAAATACTCGCTCGGCCGCCGGAGATTATCWGTCGATCCCCCGCTGTTAATCTTCCAGCTGAATGCCGAGGACCGCAGCAGTCACTTTGCCACGTGTTGAGAGTCGGAGCAATTCTCTCTGCTCACTGGTGGTCCACGGTTACAAATCACATCATCAGCTGTCTGAGCACCCACAGCCACCTCTTCTCCACCAGATTGATGGTGAAATGGAGGAAAAATCAATGGCTTCCTCTCGACAGAAACAGCCAGCTCTGTCATGTTTGGGAGTTTGATGTCGGCCTCTTTTACTTTCTCTCCACTACGGGGAAATTGAAAGCTCAGTTCGAACAAACTGACAAACACGGAGTCTTTCGAGTGGACGTAATGACACATTTCGATCCGCTTTCTTACTTGCTTAGTACCTTTTTAGAAACACTTCTCCAGCACTGAAGATTACAATGATCAGGTGGAGTTAGTTGAGATTCTAGTAAATGATGGTTAGTCTTCAGACTCTCTTAAAGGCTACTGTGTAGGTGACCCTGTACGTAACAGCAATCATTTTCTCCTCTCCTCAGGCTTCCCCTTCCATCATTTCATCCTTATCTTCACTATGACACACTGCAACTTTAAAGCAAGGTGTCCATTGACTGCCTGCTGCGAACAAGCAAGCATCACACAGCTCCTTCACTCTGACACATATTCCCCTTCTAATGGGAAATTCAAATATCACATAGCTGAATGCAATATTCACTTAGCGAGAGATAATGCTCAGCCTGATGTGGCTCATGTATCTGTTTCAGAATAGCCTCTGACACCAGATCTGACTGTGGAACTGGCTGCGTATATTCTGGCTGAAGCTCATGTGGTGCTTGTTCGCTCGCTCTGTTCTTTATTGGCGCATGTGTTGGTCGTCTTGTATTCCCCCTTGTATTTGAGRGAGAGCAGATTTCAGGGCATCTGTGCTCATCCTGCTGCTTCCTTCCCCGAGTCTTCACACCAGCACCATCTCTTTTCATTTCTGCTGGCATTCTAATCAGGGCATTATGAGCTCCAGCGGGTGAAGTACGTGGAAAGTTGTGTTTTCTGACAGCCAATAAAAACCTTATAATCTCCCTGATTCAAGCGGCCCATTTAAAAGAAAATACTAACTAGTGCTATCGCTCATACCACCTCCCTTCCCATTTCTTTAATGCCCTTTTTTATTTAATATATAGCCCATGAAAAATGAGAGACTCCCGCTTTGCTGTGTAGATATTTTGTTGCTGATGATGCGAGACGAATTTCCATCACAGCTTTGTTTCCATCGGGTGAGCGGATAATCTTTTACAGTGCAGGGAGGGAGGGCGCCACTTCCATCAATCTCCAGGGCTTATAGCCGCTGCACCGGAGCCTGACTTTACCAGAACGCCTGCACAGCACCACCCACTGTGGCCCCAAAAGGGTCAGGAGCTAACAGGGGACACCGTAAGCTTCAAGACCCTCCTTAACCTGCAGAACAATGCTTCGCTGCTGTTCCATTAGTCCTGTCATTGTTATTTTGTCATTTTTCTAACAAGGCATTCACATTTGTGAGAGCAGCCTTGCTTTCCGCGCTGACAGCTCTGTGAAACTATGTTTTCAGCTTCAGCTGCTCCTTTTGTTGAGAGGTTTCATCCATCTCTCTGCTTCTGAGCCACATGCACTTTGTGTTGTAAAGCAAAAGGTCTCAGTTTAACTTGGGGCATCCTGCCCAGGCAGCTTCTTGAAAGGGGGCCCTGGTGGCGTCCCCCCTCCACCCTCYGCAGTGGCTGGCAGGCATGCCGCACGCTTCTTTCCGCACCCCACTGCCTCGACAATCGCCTGCCACATAGCTACTCCCGAGGAGACGATACCGCTCTGATTGACAATAATGGGAAGTGGCAGAATCAATGGGAGACAAGGAGGGGGGGTTGTGCGAAATTCTCCAGGAGCTTCTAGTCACAGACCGAGGGCTCTGGCAACACTCACCTGTCATCCCTGCAGCAGCATCAGAGCCTGTGACAGGAGGAGCTCCCAGAGAGAACGACATTGTGGTCATCATCTCTCCGACGATCTGAAAACAGTTCTTCTCCTCAACACTGTAGATGGAATTCTTAAACATTATTCCAACTAAAGCCACATTTAATTGGTACTTAAGTGCTGTTTGACAAATGTGTTTCAACTGACTGAAATTTTTAAAAACATTGTTTTAAAGATGTGATGGACTTGCGACCTGTCCAGGGTGTACCCCGCCCCTCGCACTGTGACTGCTGGATATGGGCACCAGTGACCCACGCAACCCTGAAAAGGAAGAAGCGTGTACAGAAAATGGATGGATGGATGGATGGATGTTTTAAAGATGCTCAGCATAAATTCAAACCATTTCTCGTTTAGCAAAGGCTTCGTGTATCACAGGAACAAATCAAACGTTCTCAGAGTGTAGCATTTCTTTTTTTATATATAGTTTTGTAATTGTAATGCTTTCCCATAGCATTATAAAAGCTCATCCTTACAAAAAAAATGCTTTTAGTTATAGGATCAGATGACACAAAAAGTGAAACACACAGACTTAGACTTGTTGGTGAAAGAAGAAACATTCATGTCAGGAAAACCAGTAGCCACMGTAGCCCAGTGGTGGCAGCATTGTGCTTTAAGGGTGTTTGTCAAATTAAATAGAAGAAAATGGACATTTATGCACCAGTAAGGACGCAGTCACATCATGTTGAAGACGTAAACACAGATTCCCCTCAGTACTACCTTCACCACAAAACTAAAAAAATATAAAATAAAACCAACACAAACTTACATTTTTGGTGAYGCTTTGCCTCAAATGTTTCATATAGAAACATAAAATGTCTACCAGTATGGAAACATTACTTAGTTTATTAAAAACAGTCTTAACTTTTATTTTAAACCAAACTTGTAAAAATCACATTAGGAGAGAACAATATAAATATTTTAAAGTTTAATGTCCGGACCTGAATCCAATCCAGAATCTGAGGTGAAAAATTACAATGTGGAAGCAGACTTCCAACCCAAAAGACCAGGAAATTATTGGAGAAAAGCAGTAATTCAAATGTTTTTGAGAAAGACAGACTTCTCCAACGAAATATTTATGTGATTAAAAAAATGTTTATTGCCTTTTCTGTTTGAATATTATTTAGGCCAAATAAAGTTAAATAAAATTGAAATAAATTGGTACGAAATTACCTTCAAATAGTTAGTTAAAACAATGTACTGCACCACCTAAGTCTTGCATTTGGGCACAAATCAAAAACACTTAGCTCAGAAAAAGATAACTGCACACTTGAACATGAAATATCTCTCAGTTCTACAATAAACGAGAAGTGTTGACTTCACAATTTAAAGGTATATTTAAAACATATCTCATAACTCCTATGACTTAAAACACAGTTGTGATTACCATGAGCTTTGGATGTGTGTGTGTGTGTGTGTGTGTGTGTGTGTGTGTGTGTGTGTGTGTGTGTGTG